AAGGCAAGAGAGACAGATTGTCCAGCCAGTGAAGGCAAGAGAGAGACCGTCCAGCCAGTGAAGGCAAGAGAGACAGTCTGGATAGGCTATCCAACTAGCAAAAAAAAAATTATTCTGCATTTACTGGCCGGACAATCTGTCTCTCTTGCCTTCACTGGCCGGACAATCTGTCTCTCTTGCCTTCACTGACCGGACAGTCTGTCTCTTTTGCCTTCACTGGCTGGACAGTCTGTCTCTCTTGCCTTCACTGGCCGGACAGTCTGTCTCTCTTGCCTTCACTGGCCGGACAGTCTGTCTCTCCTGCCTTCACTGGCTGGACAGTTTGTCTCTCTTGCCTTCACTGGCCGGACAATCTGTCTCTCTTGCTTTCATTTACTTATTCAAAAATTATTCTGTATTCACTGGAAAAATCATATTTGATCAACCACGTTCAAATTTTGTCACCGCAATAACGAAATCATAGTCAAAAATAAAAAAATAATAAAAATTCATAAAAATTTGAAAAAGTAAATAAAAAAAGCAATTAAAAATACCGTAACACTCAAATTAATAATAATTAAAACGAGACTATGATTTGAATATTGACGTCATTATTTTATAGCATTTTTCGAATATACAGCCGCCATATTGGGTTTCGTTATATTCAAATACGACGTCCCAATTGTTAATTTATCAACATCTTACAATGTATCATGATATAAATTTTCATGAAAATTAAACGCAGTTTTTATGTTTTAGAAAGAACGAAATAGTTATTTTTTAGCATTTTACGGATAATTTGGCCGCCATATTGGTTTTGGACACTAAAAATTTATTTTTTCCATGGATTCAATGCTAACTACTAAATAAACACATTAACACATTTTTCTATGACAGTCTATAACTTCCAAGTAACGATTTCATCTGTCGTACCTCGTTACCCGCAGACTTCGGCCACCATATTGGGTTCCGCCATGTTGATTTTTCAAAAGGCCTCAGCTCAACTAAAACTACATTAGTGTAGCTATAAAATGAGCCCTGAAAGAATTTTTTAGGTGACCCCAATTTTTGGATAGGGGGGGTGTCTGATTTCACGGAGAATGCCCCATATATATATATATATATATATATATATATATATATATATATATATATATATATATATATATAGCACACAACAAACTTATGTATTTGTACAGCTATCATATAATTGTTATATATAAGCGATAAATAAAATACAACGAACATACAAATTGGTGTTTTTACCGAACAAATCTACCCTTTAATGGCCGACTTTTTTTACAAGAGTTTAACACACTCGACTCATGGTGGATTGAAGTTAGCAGGTATCAAATATGTGAAAAAAATTTCACAATTTTTCTACTCTCTAAACTACCTCCTATGTGCAAAAACTACCTTTAAACATAAAAACGTAATCTAATTTCCTATTATTTTACCCTGATCTAAATTATAGAAAAAATACTCCAAAACATGCAGGTATATTATAAAAAACTTGCAGACCATCACTACGCTTATAAACCACCCCTACATTAAAGACAACATCCCCGTAGTTCAGAAACGTTACAAATAAAATATCTGACTTACATTATTTTTAAATGAGAAAAATTTTACTAGGACATGGAAACTGCTCACTGACTTTTGTTCCCGCACAGGGGAGCCACTGTGCTTGGTAGCTAGCGTCGCAAATTTCAAAGCAGCGAAAGAATCAAAGAATTGTGATAATTAATGAGTGGCGAAAAATACGCAAAGTGGTCTGTGGAAAAATTAAAAAAAGAGCTCCGTTCTCGGGGAGCAAAAGTAACGGGGAAAAAGAAGGATTTACAAGATCGGTGACATATATCCAAACGTCAATATAGGTTATTATATCTAATATACTCTTTACCCGGCGAACCCCAAATTGTAACAGAGTCATTTCAGTTAATGAATGCGAACAAACATTATCGATTGACATACAGTAATAATATTTTTATTACAATACTGATTTTTCCCATATGTTAACAATTGGTGTTTGAAACTCGCGCGGAATACTACCAATTTTGATATGGTGCTGCACTCTATGCTAGCTTTCACTGATCAACTAGGGATCCTTTAATGAGATCAACCTCATTCTCAAGCCATCCTGTTAGCCACTACCCCAACCACCTCTTTGAAAAAAATAATAGAATGATTTGTTGTAATCTAAAATTACAACGGGTAATTATTAAATTATTTATAATAAAATTATAGAATAGTCTTTCGAAACACTCCTCAATTCACGCCGACGCGGACGCGGAAGTTCATCAAGCTTCCGCGTCAATCGAACTATTGCGATACGCATAAGAATGTGCGACAACGCATTTCGACATTCGCGGAACCGCGGAAGTTCAAGCTTCTTCCGCGTCAATATTGCGAGATGCATAGGAATGTGCGACAACGCATTTTGACAATCGCGGAACCGCGGGAGTACAGCGAGATTGCGAATGCGCTCGGTCACTGACCGACCTCGTTCGGGGGACCGTCGAACCCGGCGGAAAAGCGCCGACAGGGCATAACTCAAAACAATATAAGGGACCGTCGAAGAAGCCGCGACGGAGAGTAATACACCGGAGACTCTGACCGTTCTCGTAAGTCGTGTCGCGAAGGTTTACATTATAACAAAGCGCGTGCGAGTTATAGTAATTGTGAAAGGCAAATACAAGTGTAAGTTAGTGAGTGTAAAAGGGGCACTGAAATAAAGCTCCAATATAAAGTAAAACGAAGTGAAGTTCATTTAACGACGCCTACACCCCGTTCCACCTGCGAACCCGAGCGCTTCCTAGTCTGCCCGCCTGTGTCAACCAAGTTCCAACTCGTAAGGTCAAGAGATCCCGAAAATAATAAACGTTTTGCCGTAAGCCGTCACCAACCGGCGACGCGGCATAACAGACTATTCTAAACGCCCATAAAAAGTGTTTTTACGTATTATGACTATTAGAAGTAATTTTTCTCGCGGCCCTTTTTTGTACATAATTTTGACTTGATTTCAAAACGTATACATAAACTGAAGGTAAACAAAAAAATTCTGCCTAAACTTTGTGCTCATTTTTTATTTTTTCGCGATTTTGGCACTTTTTTATAGAGTGTGTAGTAGCTGAAAGATGCTACCCTCAGGTTCAGCAATTTTTTTGTATTTAGAGCCTACCTTTCTCTTTAAAATGAGACCTTACTTAACAAAGTCGATTGATGTTGGTTTTTATAGAAGATATGATTGGGACGTATGTGTCCTATTGGCCGTTAAGGGGATCCAATAGTGGCAGTAATTATACCGACATTTAGTTAAAAGCAAACAACTTTTAATTGGCTTTACGGAATTGCAAAATTTTTTACAGAATTAAAGTACGCACAAAAATGTAGAGGGCTAGGGTTGGTTTTACATCCAAAACGAAAAAAAAAAATTAAAAATTTGGGCACATATATAGAGCTGTCACTGACGACAATATTTGCTTATACAAAAATACTGCAGTTTATATATACAAAATGAGATACTAGCCCTCTAGGGAAAACATTGAAGAACAATATCGTGCAATTACAACTACGATAGAAGTCTAGAAAAAAAGTGTCATGCTTTTAACTTTTATATATGCAAAAGCACATATGCAGGTTGATAAGATAAGCAGTATTGCGTGTAGCGAAAGATGTCGCAGCAATCGGACAAGGACAGATACCTATATAGTTAGACAAGAACAGATATATGGCGTTTTCGATTTGCGACTCAAACTGACTCGAGTCGCATCATGTATACAGGACTCTAGCATCATTGACGTGAAATACATACATAGATATGTATGTATTCCACGTCCATTGATGCGACCCCAGTCGGGTCGAGTAGCAAATCGAAAACGCCAATAGATATATAACATAGAAAACAGGACTAGAAATGTTGACATTATCGACATCGAGGAAGTTCGGCCTTCGCTATAGGATCTCCTTAAAGGGTTAATTAATAAGTCTATCTACATTAAATATTTTATATAATTTATTTGTAATCATCAGTTATGAAGTTATCAAATAATTATGAAATTAAAGCCGTATTTAATTGAACTCTATTAACTACCCAAACTGAATTTAGTTAACTGCTATTTATCTTTTTTGATAATAATCTAACATACATATCTAACATACATAATAATATGTTTTATCAATGTTGAAATTCTTGTCCATTCTTGGCTATAATAGGATCAAAGTGTTTCTGTAAATTCAATATTTATATGTGTTTTATATTTATTACATGTATACTCATTTTATTTTAAATTATGCTTTAAAATATTTATATTTATGTGCATTTATTTCTCTTTTTCAGACATTATTTGAACACACAAAAATGACTAATGACACTAAACATTATAAAGTAACATATCTTCCTACCTTTATCACTGGATATTATTTCCTTAAATTGGGCTGGATGTTGCGACTTTGTTTTTAATCTAAGATTTTTAATATTATTCCGAAATAGATACTTCTGTCGCATTTGATTTTCAAGGATACTCTCCAATTTTATTATGTCACTTTTGTATTTCTCTTCCAACTGCAGCATTTCTTCCTGCAATAGCGATAATATCGGTAAATGTAAAATTAAATATTTAACAAATATAAACGTGATTTTTACATCTGACATGATGCGTTGCTTGGATAGTTTTTGAAGCTTTGATCGCTCTTCCACTAAAAGCGTCAGAAAGCTCAACTTTTGCGTATGTTCCCGAATCAGTTTATTAAATATGACTAATTCTCCTGCGTAATTTTCCTTAATGTCTGTAATAAAAATATACAAAATATATAAATCTATGAAATTAAAATATAATATTTTATAGCACATAACTTACGCTTGATTCGTTTGGTGAAATACATCGTTGTCTCGCTTAAGTTAGTTTTAATATCATACACTATACGACGAAGTATTGTCTCGTATAATTTATTTAACGATATATCCTGGCCAAACTTATTCATTATCTTCAGCTTAATCTCATTTTTCAAATTTTTATTGTTGACACGCATGTGATTGCAATCGAGTTTAATTCTCTGGAGGTGCGTTCGAGCGTGTCTGCAACATGTATCCCGTTATAAGATTCATAAGGTTTCTCAATGTCAGTTATTTATCGACTCGCGCTGTGTAAGTTTTACGTACTTGTGTTTAACTTGCAATTCAAGTGTTTCCTCATGTAACTCTTGTATTCTCGCGTACAATTTAGACAGTTTTTTCTTATCGAACACTACGCAATCGTGCACCTTGAATGGAATCTGAGACTCTTCGAAATACTGCAGCTGATGCAATTTCATTAGTACCGTGACATCCACATCGTTTAATTTTCGCTGTTTCTTAAGCTGTTGAACAGAGTACGATTAAGCAAATAATAAATAATACTTCAAGCGAACAATATATTTTACTAATATGGATTAACACATTTAGTATGTATAATACCATAAACATTTTTAGATCATCCTCATTTTTCTTTAAACTACTCTCTACAACTTTTAGCTTCTTCATATGAATTTGAATCTCCTTATGAAGAATCTCCATAGCTCGTTGTGCATCTCTGATTTCATGTTCGTACGCATATCGGTTTTCTCTCATCAAAAATGCTAAATTATATAACGTTTTATCACATCCTGGCGGACATACGTTTTCGTCGAGATAAATTAACTCAGATTTTTCATTATCGACACTATCCGTTTCATCTGAATCCGTTTCAGTTGTTGTCGTAGTGGTTTCTGAAGCAATAAATAAATAATTATTAATACATTCCAATTATATGTTGATAGCGATAAATTCTTTCCAAATTCAAGAAGTTGGACACTGTCATGCTCTTCTTGCAAAATGCTCTTATTACCGTCATCTTCCTTTGCTTCTTTGTACTTTTTCCTCAATATTCTACATAGAAAGTTACGAAACTTATTATCATTCATTCTAGACATGTACTCGGAAAAGATATTTTTAATCTGATTACGCAATTTTGTAATTTCCTTGGTTTTAATGTCAACTTTGTCGGTTGCCGTCTGTATCTGAAAATATTAATTATATTATCATATGCGTTGTCTTTTATTCTTATACGTGATTGTTATCGAATGGAACAGTAAAATACATCAACTAACTTTCTGCCTCATTGCTGCGACCTCTTCTGATTTACGATTAACTTGGTCGTGCAATACGTTCTCCATTGTCTCGTATTCTTTCAAGATAACATATTCTTGACGGAGGGTCAATAAAAATAAATTAAGATTGACATTCTCAGCAACAATGTCCAATCTATCGCGCTCTAATTTATCTAACTTCTTGTCTAAATTTTCACAGTTGGTTTGTATGTGTCACAATATGCAATCCTGTTCGTATATCTTGCGCAGCATACGAGAAGATTTCATTTCTCGTTCCCATGAACTCTCAGTATCATCGCTCAAATAAAGTAATTTCATGTTATCTTGGACAATGGGTTGAACCTTTATCTTTCTTTCTGCAACGGAAAATTTTGGTGGAAAAATGTCTCAGAATTTTTCATGTTATTAATCAAAATTTTTATGAAAATTTTAAGATTTGCTCAGAATTTTTCAGACTTTTTATGTGAATTGGAACGTTTTTCAGGAAAACTCACAATCAGACAAAATAATAAAAAATATTTCAGATTTTTTCCGTCAACACATCTTTTGTAGAAATCTGAATAAATATAAGAACATCCGTAAAATTTATTAAAAATTTTCATACATACAGATACTGAAATATTTCAAAAATCCTGGTTTAATTATTTCTGAGAGTATCTAAGAATTTTACATTTTTTTTCACAATTTTTCATAAAAAAATATGAGAAAGGGCATAGGGGGATAATCATGTAAAAATTGCCCCCGCAAGTATGAAGTTGATATTGGCGTCGTAAGTTAGTACCCATATGTGACCTTGAATTCCTGCAAATATTGACCTTGAAATTATATTTTTGAAGGAGTTATGGAGGAAGAAAGAAAAAAAACAAAAAAATTTTTTTCTCGAAAACGGCTCGACCAATTTTTATGAAAAAAAAATATGTTGTAGGTATCAATAATGATGTTTAAAAGAAAATATTTTATAATTTTTGAACAAATGATAGAGTTAAAAAAAATTTTTGAATTTTTCAAACAATTTTTTTTTGTGTTTTTTTAGAGTGACACCTTTAATTTTTTTTGAAAAAACATTGTACTAGTATCTATTTTAACATATAATTTTTCCAGATTTTTAAAAAATATAGTTTTGGAGTAAAAAAATGAAAATCATGATCGTGTTACCTGATGCTCAAAGTATCTTGTAGCGCCGGTCAAGGCATAAAGGCGCTTTGTTATTGAATGGCATATTTTGTTAGAAAAGCTTTAGCTTATTATTTATTACTTGTTTATCACATTTTTTTTAAGGCTTTAATTACAATTTTTTAATTATTTTATATATGTTTATTCAATAATGGGTATTCTTCTGTTGAATATATACAATGATTTCATTTACATTTCTATAATATTCATTTAGCGGAGCAACATCTGGAATCTGAGAAGTAATGCAAAATTTTAATTCATAGAAACTGCAAAAATCGCATCTCATAATTATAAATGCTAACATACCAGCAGATTGTTCATAATGTTGCATCAGGTACTATCCGTGCAACTATTGAATTCCAGATACTGAGACACTTTACCCATGCATCCAATATCCCCATTATAATCAGCAATATCTTTGTACAATTTCACACAGCACGCCTATTGAGCATCAGGTGACACGACCATGATGACATATATATAAAATAATTAAAAAATTGTAATTAAAGCCTTGAAAAAATGTGATAAACATGTAATAAATAATAAGCCAAAGCTTTTCTAACAAAATATGCCATTCAATAACAAAGCGCCTTTATGCCTTGACCGGCGCTACAAGGCGTTACTTTGAGTATCAGGTGACACGATCATGATTTTCATTTTTTTACTCCAAAACTATATTTTTTAAAAATCTGTGAAAATTATATGTTAAAATAGATACTAGTACAATGTTTTTGCAAAAAAATTAAAGGTGTCACTCTAAAGAAACACAAAAAAAAATTGCTTGAAAAATTCAAAAATTTTTTTCAGCTTTATCATTTGTTCAAAAATTACAAAATATTTTCTTTTACACACCATTATTGATACATACAACATATATTTTTTTTATGAAAATTGGTCGAGCCGTTTTCGAGAAAGAAATTTTTTGTTTTTTTTCTTTCTTCCTCCATAACTTCTTCAAAAGTATAATTTCAAGGTCAATATTTGCAGGAGTTCAAGGTCACATGGGTACTAACTTACGACGCCAACATCAACTTCATACTTGCGGGGGCAATTTTTACATGCTTATCCCCCTATGCCCTTTTTAGAAAATTTCTGAGAAAGAAAATTTTTTTACCAGGGTATAACGCAAACGGTCCCCTGAAAGTTTTCGCATTTTCTGGAAATTTTTCATCCAGAAGTAACACCTCGTATTCTTCGTCTGGACAATGAGGTAGTGTTTGCTCTGGTAAAACTGTCGTCCGTCTTTGCCTATCTGCCTTCAATGTATATTCCTCGATCTATACATGTGCAAAGGTTAAAGCATATTCTTACACGATACAACTTAAACACTTACATTTTTTCTCATTTCGTCAATAAAATGTATTAATACGCACCATTATTTTCCTCTCGGGAAATTCTATATTAATATTTAATGCAGGAGCTACTGATAAAGGTTTTACACTTTTCAATGGTATTTCGGCATGAATCTTTTTGAGGGATTTTATTAAATGTAGAACTTCCGCATGCAAGTGTTCTTTTTCTGTTCTTACAGCTTTCAGTCTCGTGTTAAAAGGTTCTTGTTGATAATAAAGCTACAGATATCATCGCGAAAGAGCCTTATAATAAAACTTCTAGTATAGAGTAGGTAGTCCAACAATGAACCATGTATTTCAGAGGCTTATATATCTCTCAATTATTGAGTTGGAGATCTGTGTTTTTGTATACAGTTCATGAATTTAGTTGGCTACATTATACTGTATAAGATGACTTATAAGTCATTTTTAAAGTTTAGCCACAATTTCGATTTTTTTAAAACAATGTCAAATGATTCATTGTGTACAGGGGTGTGTAACACAATGAATCATTTGCCTAGCCATTTTTAATAATAAACCACATGTTTTATACAGTGAATTGTTAGTGTTATTTTAGTTTTGCTATGTTTTAAAATGTTTATTTAGGGAAGAGATAATTATAAGACATGATAAGTAAGATTAGGATAGTATGACTTTAAATTAAAGCTAACTTAATTATATGTTTTCATTATTTGAAGCTTACAATCAAAATTATTATTTTTAATCAGACTTCTTCTTACTTAGATTATTATTTATTGTAGCAACTAGTCAGTTTAATAAGACTTATAACACCGATAACTGTAGTAAAAAACAAAATAGTTTATTGTAGACCACATAAAATTTTTTATGACTAGACACTACAGACGCGCGCGCTTCGCGCGCGCCATTTAGCTTTAACATTATAATAATCGCGACACGACGCGGGACGATTAACCTCGCGACACGACGCGAGCTGTCACATCATGACACACACGACGCACTACACGCACGAAACTCGCCACACTCCGCAATGACAGTCCCTCACGGGATGAAGCAAGCTTGCGGCGCGGCAATCAATCGAGATAGCCAATCGGCATCGCGGAAAAGAGGCTTCAATTTTACGATACAAACGAAATTCACTCAGGTAACACGCCTTTTTTAAAAATGGATGGATAATAATCTTCAAAAAATACGAAAAAATAATGCAATAGAAAAAAGTTGCTTAGAGAATTATAAAGCCAAATACACACAAAAAATCTAGAATAATGAAAAAAATAATAGATATAACAACAAAAACACGAAAAATACGTAAAACTTACGAAAAGAAACTTAGTTTGTCACCCAAAAATCACAAAATGTGGTCTCAAACGACCGTCCTTCGCGCGATTTACCGGCCGATTGGGGAGCCGAAGAGGGGTTCAAATGTGAGTCGTTGCATGACACAAGCACAATCTAGCAACACTACATTTATGAAATATTGCAATATGGTTCATAGTGTACAACTGGTTCATTGATGGACTACTTACCCTACTAAATAATGAATTATATAATAAACAGTAAATAAATGATTTAAAATGTTTCTTTAATGTGTAGATACAAACCTTTTTTCGGCAATTTAGTAGTTCCTTATATTTTGAAAAGAGAGTATCTCGTTCTTCCGACAGCAAATTGAAAGTCGAAGATGTCTTTAATTTATAATCACCGATGGTTCTTGTTGCTTCCTCTATAGCGAATATATCATGCGTATTATTGATAAATATATCGGGTTTTTCGTTATATATAACTTTCCACTGAATAAAATGAATCCGTGATTAAATTACAATAATAATAGTGAGGACACTTAATTTTATAAAATCCGAAATTAAGCGACCCGACTGGCCAGGTCACATTTATTCTAACTCACAACGTTTCAACCATAATCTGGTCCTTCTCAAGTGAGATATTATAATTTAATACGCAACATTAGACATCATGCGTCGCCAGATATTGTATCCTACTACATCGTGCGAACGCCAAGATGTTTGGTGCGTCAAAAGAATGAAAATGTAAAATTGTTAAAATTTGTTAAAATTGTAAAAATGTAAAGAAAATTAAAGTGTACATTTTCTCCACTATATCCGTACCGTGCCATAGTCAAAGTCACTTAATTTTATACTAGTATTTGTAAATTGCACCAACTTCCTTTTCGCGTTCTTCCAGTCTTGTCTTTCTTAAGGTATATTTACGTAACATTTGGTTTAATTGAATTCCCAGACTACTATCCACATCTTCGTAATTTACGCCCTTTAAGAAATCCGTAATTGGTTTCGTTTTCGCCACCTCAATTTCTTCTTCCGTTTCCACTTTATCTTCTTCTCGTTGCTCCTCCTCAAAATGTTGCACTTCATCATCCGTTACACTACTCAGGGATGAAGATACATTTTAGACATATAACGTGCTTATATAAATAAATATCTATTCGAGTATACGAATTACCTATTTCTATTCGCTTCTTTCTCGGACACGTGCGTATGTTTTATCGTATCAATATGCGACAAAGTAACGTCAATATCCAAGACGCGTTGGCGCAAAGAATATACTACGCTATCTGGTTTCCTGTATCAGCACAGATACCAGATCATTCTGTTTACACTTTTTAAGGCGGCTCCCAGTAAGCAAGAAACATCAAGAAACATTTCAACTAAGATATTGCATTAACATTACAACGTTACTGCAACGTTGAAATGTTTCTTGCTTATTATAAGCTCTTACTTACGATATTTTGCAGACAACAAATGGTAAACATGTAATCGGTTGAACAAAGTGTTCTAGAAGCTTTTGCAATCCAAGCTCGCTCTTCTCCACTTTAAACGCCAATTTTTCGCGTATCGCAGCCATTTCCGCATCTAACTCTTTGTTTAGGTTAGCTGTAATTCTAGGATCTAGTTCCAATTCCTTGCAAGTTATTTGATGAGGCTTCGGTAGTATGTTATTCCTATAATGTGTAAAAATATTTTTAAAAAAGATAAAAAAAGAGCGCCAAGTGTCCGCGCCTGTCAAAATAGTTATTGTGCAAAATTTTAATTTATTTTTGCTATAAAAGTATAATAGTGATATCAAAACATTGCGCCAACTGAAGTTTGTGTGTAAGCGAATTCATTTAAAATGTGAATAAAATATATATGCGAAGTATAGTAGATTTAAGATCTTAAATCTATTATACTTCGCACATATATCTATTCACATTTTAAATCAAACTTGCTCTTTATTCACGCAAACTTCACACATGTACATAAGAATTAAATTTTATGATATGTATATAAACTCATGCTCACACACACACGCATACACACACACAATCAGTTGGCACAATGTTTGATATCACTACTTTTAGAGCAAGTATAGTAATAGTAGAATATGAGTGAGTGTGTGATACTAGTAGAGTCCTGATGATACCTACAATATATAGATCATGCCTATCATACTGATCCTTTATATCTGCCACTCTCTTGACGTATTTAGTCTTTTTTGAAAGTATCATTTCTTATACCGGTTTATCCCCCAAGCTGTCCGGTCTAGTTTCCTCTGGTCATTCGTTACCTGGGTGGCCATGCCTTGAAGAACTCCCGAAACCAGCCTGTGGCTTGGGTCCCATTTTTAAGATAAGAATGAACTTTCTATGAATGAACTTTTATCAACAATGGTTTTTTTCCGTGGTAGGGTTGTTAGCCCTACGCACAACCCCCAACTTAGGGCCACTTCGACCAAACTCCGATTAAACTAACCGGAGATGGTCGAAGTGACCCGAGAGGACTGAGTGGCGATTGAAGCATATATAGGTCATAAATAGGAGGTACACCTAGCAGTTGCTAGCTATGTGTAGACCACGGCTTAACGTCTCTTCTGAAAGCAGTTTCACCGCACGAGAGTCTTTTCATTAAATTCTCGTGCGGAGGTGTGCAGTTTAGAATATTAAAATTCCTGTGATCAAGTAGACTCGAGCCCGGTTCTTTGTAATTACGAGTTTGCCGCTTTACCACTAGACCACACTGCCACCCTTACTTTTAGAGCAAAAATAGATTAAAATTTTGCACAATAGCCATTTTGACGGACTTGGAAACTTGGCGCTCTTTTTTATCTTTTTTAAAAAGGTACTTTTTATGGTCTAATATGCATTTTGTAGTATCGAGCGTCTCATAAGTATGTTGATTTTATGTGATACAGCTAGATGATAAGATGAAATATATAATTATAAACAATTCACAATATACAGATTCATAAGTTATTTAATATATGACATATGATTAGATTGATAAGGTTGTATTGAGTGAAGGCCGAACTTCCTCGACGTCGGTAATGTCAACATTTCTAATTCTGTTTTCTATGTTATATATCTATATCTGTCCTTGTCTAACGAGAGGCATCTGTTCTTGCTGCGCCATCTCTCGCTACACGCAATACTGCTTCTCCTATCAACCTGAATGTGCTTTTGTTTAATAAAACTTTATTATAGAATATCTTTTTTTCTAGGCGTTGAATCTTAGTTCTATTTACACAATATTGTTCCTACATGTTGTCTCTACCCCGCCTGGTTGTCATTTTATATATATAAACTGCAGTATTTTTGTTATTGTCGTCAGATGATAGCTGTATGTGCCCAAATTAATAAAATTTTTAATTTTTTTTCGTTCCCGATATAAAATTGTGTGTCGCGGGGTAGATTTTTGTGCGTACTTTAATTCTGCAAAAGGATTTTGCAATTCTGTAAAGCCAATTCAAAAATTTCATAAAATAAAAAAATGTCGGTAACTACTGCCACTATAGGATCCCCTTAAGGTGTTTGGAGTGAGGGGTGTGGGTGGAAGGAGTGGAAGTGGATGATATATTATCAAATAAAAGAATGAACTTGTCGTGTGCATAAAATATTGAAATAAGAAGGGCCAATAACCGAGTAACAGAGGATGTTAAACAATCAACTTATTAATTTGCATATACAATATATATTGGTATGTTTTGATATTTCACCGAATCTTCTTCAGCCGAACGTATATGTACGTGTATATACATATATTCAGCATTATCCAAACCTTTCCAAAATCTTGCTATATTCCTCGCTTAATTTAAGCAATATCTCCAAAGTCTGATGTTTCCTTTGCTTTGCTGCAGTTGCAATTCTGTCATATTCAGCTTGCTGAATCATCTCTTCCAGACTTGCATAATCAATTTCCTCGATATCTTCGATACTAGCATATGGCTGTATCATGTCAAAAATTTATCAAAATATATATTTGCAAGAAATTAAATTACTAAATTAACTTCAAACGTTTTGAAATATGATTAATAAAACTGCAAATATACCAGAGATAAGGTCCCTTTGGTCTTTTCAAATTCAATTTCTTCGAGTGGCGCATCATCGTTTATCTCATAAGAAAATAAATTTCCGTCATGTCCACACGTAAACAGTATCCTTTGGTCGTGGCTAAGAATCATTTTTGGAATATGGCCGTTATAATTATCATGCATTGGAAGTATCCAGTAATCTGAGAGATCTGTATAATTTTCGGGTTTCCATCTGCAAACCCGTATTTGTCCATGCTCCATTCCCAGAAACAAGTATTTTCTTCCCTTACTAGCGGTAACATAGGATATTAACAGATGGTATTATGCCGTATAAACGCAAAATTCTTTTCTGTGCGATGTACGTAACAATTAATTTTATTTGTGCTTACTAGAAGAGACAACTTCGTAATTCTGTGTCATCCGCATCGTATATTATGGTACTTTTAACAGGCTCCTCTCCGACAGTTTCGGTAATTTCCGGACTTGGATATTCATATATATATCCCGCGTCAAATCCTGCCATTGACAACCAAATAATATCGCGACTAATGTATTGTGCCATCAATATCTTGTTTGGTATTTTCGGTATATATATTTCTGGTAATGGCTCTTCTTCTTCTATATCTATTTAATATTAAAATTTAATTTTTAATAATTAATTTTTTATTTTAGTTTTATTAACTTTGTTTTTTCACCATTTTTAACTAAACGATAAAATTAGACAACATTTTAGAGAAAAAAGAAAACAAGTAATATAATTTAATTAAAAGACCGAGAAATGCTTCTTCGTTAACTTCTAGTCCGGGACTTTCAGCTATTAATCGCTCTATTTCTTCACGTTTCTTCGCTATCTTCTCTCTCTTCTCTTTCTCTCGCTCCAGGCGTATTAATTCTCTTCGAATAACAGATTTTACAGAATGAAATTTAAATGCTTTTGGTCGACACTGAACGAGTTCGTATGAAGCGATAGTGTACGATTGAAGTACGCTTGGTAATATAACTTCTACGCAATCACCTTGCAAACATCCAATTAATAATGTCGTTTCCTGTAAAATAAAATGAAATTAAAAATAATTACGAATACGTCCAGTGTAAATTGTAATATCTTATTTACATATTGCGACTTCCACGTAAGACATGTAACTTCCGATGGTACTTTGATGAAGCCAATTGGTGTAACGACAGGAAAAGTTTTGGTCACTGTAATGGTGAAATTAAACACAGTTGAATCTTCACTACCCGTCACTAGTAAGCTGAAATATATTCTCACGTAGAAATTATTTTCACAATTAAATATGCAATAGACATTAAGATAATGATGATCATTAAGATAGAGTTTTTTATACCTGCACGATGGATTCAAAGACATCGCAGTTATTGCCATTTTGTGCGGTTTTATGACTTGAATCAGTCTAACATAATCTCCTTTTACATTGTTAGTGGCATTGGCTACCGATATCGCTACAGTAATTACACGAATAACACCATTTCCGAAAGCACAAGCGAGTGTTGACCCTGTTGCTTCAATCTTTCAAGTATATGAAAGAAATTTATATATTATAATTTTGTATAAAGATATTTAAGTGCGTAGAAAATAAGATCTCTTATGAGATTATATAATAAAACTGAACGATAAAATTTTAATCAGAAAAGTAGCATAATTTCTCATGTTAAT